AAAAAAAAAAAAAAAAAGATATATATATCTCAATTAATAATGGATAAAATTTAAACTCACGTTTAAGCCTTAAAAAAAAAGAAACATGACATTTTCAAAGGGCTTCCATTGTTTGTTTGTTTTAGTACTGGGAATCAAACTCGGGACCTTGTGCTTTCAAGGCAGGCAGCAGAACCACTGAGCTAAATCCCCAGCCCCTAAATGGCTTCCATTGGATAATGGATGTTTTCTGAGTTGAATTTTCATAGCTGGCACAATCAGGACATTCGGAAGCAGAATCAGATGGGGGGGGTGGGTGTGTGGGTGTGTGTGCGTGTGTGCGCACACGCCCACGCTAGAGATTAAACCCAGGGCCTCATGCACTTTACAAATCTGAGAGTTTCAAAATTCCATGCAGGGCAAGAAAGTCTCTTATTTCGGGGTTCTTTCAACTTCAAAATGCCTGCCTCTACCTTTAAAATTGCTAAACATTTGGCATTGGTCCACCAGGCTACTAACTACTCAGGGAATTCTCCTTGAAGACCACTTCTCTCCTAATCTTCCCTGCTCAAGAATTTATGAAGTTTCTGGGCTGGGAATGTAGCTCAGTGGCATTGTGCCTGCCTGGCAAGCACAAGGTCCTTAGTTTGATCCCCGGTAGTGGTGGTGTGGTGGGTGATGGATTTATGAAGTTTCTGACTACTCTACCACAGCAAGGTTGACAACCTCTACCTGGAGTTTCAAGAGGTCCCAGAATCTAAAACAGCCTTAAAAGTTCTCTGGTTATGGCCCAACTCCTTCATCTCACAAAGGAGAAAACCAAAGACCAGGACTGCATATTCACTCACTCCAAACACATCTATCCCCTCTCTTCCTCCAGATAAGAAACACTTACAGAGGTAGAGTGAGATCCACATCCCTGACACACGGCTCTGGTCCTCATGCTTAGCGACTGCCATCCATCTTGTTCACAGTGAGTATCCTAGCACCTAACTCTGTGTCAAAGATGGTAATAGTGCTGAATAAATGATGTCACAAAGTTATCCAGCAAAGGTTCCTCATCTGTAAAATGAGGAAAATGAGGTCTAGAAGTCTCCATGGATGGCCATAGATACAACAGCACAGTTGGTTCCAGGAGAGAAAGTCAGAGTCCACCTACCACAGTCACCTGCTTGACCACAAGGCGTCCTTCAAGTCAAACTCTGTCTTATTTACAGCTCATGAAAAACTTCCAGATGAGGACATTCTTCATATTGTACCGATAAGAAACCCGAGGCCTAGAGTCACAAAGTTGGCTAATTATTGCTGCCTAAACTAGGACCTGTTTCCAGTAGCCTCTCACCAACCTTCATCCTGATACATGCCCCCAAGGCAGCTGAGGACCTACTGCCATGATGTTTCTGTCAGAGTAACAGTGGACAGCTCCAGCTTCCTTATCTAAAGCTCAGGTAAAAATGGGCACATCGAAAAAGAAAAAAAGAAAAGCCAGCCAAAGGAAGAGCACAGGGAATGGAAAGGCCACTTGTAACACAGCCACACAAGTGAGTAGAGGGCAGTTTATAAAACTTTAAAACCTTCTCTCCACCCCAAGATATGCAAAGTTTTCTGTCTCCATTTGAAGCTACAGCTAAAAAAGACAGGCCTATTCTGTCTCTCCACCAACCTCTCATGAATCCTCCAAAGCCTGTCAGGACCAGAGTACCTGAGATAAAATGTTTTCATGATAACCTGCATATCTGTCTTAACAAGGTTTTTCATTCACAGAGCTACACATTCACTACTGGCATAAATGAAATGGGCCTTGCAAAGGAAAAAAGAACACTCTGACTCTTAGTACTTCCTACCTTAAAGTGCATATTTGTGCCAAAATCAGTAGTAATACCTAGGGTTCCTATGATATGCCAGGGACCCCAGAACTTCTGTTTGTCATTCTAGTTGGTTCACAGGAAGTATGCTGCCCTACTCTTCAAAGAAGTGAGCAAAACTGGGCATCTCCCTTCAAGCTTCAATTAAGCACAAGAGTAAATGGTGCTGGTAAAATGGCCTCCAACTGTTGAGAATACCTTAGAAAAACAAAAATAATGCTTTCCCCAATCAAGATACAAATAAACTGAGCTCTGCTGCCCTCCTCTACTCAGGCCACCTGGGCAGAGATAAGATATGGGCTGCTAGATGTTCAACTGGGCCCAGCATCCTCCGTGAGAGAGGGCATGAGCATGCTCACCCACCCAGAGCTCCGATAGATCCTTCTAGGTCTGTAGGGGTGGGGAGAAGATCGGTGATTCTTCTGAAAAAGGGTAGGGCAATTGCCAAGCAATTCAGAAACTGGGGCTGATGGAGAAGTCAGGCCTTTCTATAACAAATTCAACCTGTGATCTCTGAAATACGCAGGGTTCACAAGCAAAAAAGCTAATAAAATATTTGTTACAGTCCAAAAAAAGCAAGCTTATCTATATAATTTATATATCTAGCTGTTATTTTCTCTGTGTGTGTGTGTGTGTGTGTGTGTGTGTGTGTGTGTCTTAAGGGCTGAACACAAGGCCTTCACATTGAGGTACATCATTAGTACCTACCCACCCACCCTCACCCACTGCCTCCCTTTTGAGACAAGATTTTGTAAAGTTACCCAGACAGGTAATTTAAAACACTCCTGCCTCAGCCTTCTATTTTCTTAAGGCTTATACACAGTCAGCTTTCAGTACCAACAGATGGTAAGAAGGGAGATCTCTGGGGATAAAATATCCAGCAGTTTGAAAGGACACTGAGTGACTATCTTCTGGGCTGACTGGGCTGTTAACCTCACTGAAGCAAGATGTTACAAAATGAAACTTTGAAAACTACTGAGATAAACACAAGCAAAGCAGCAGGATCCTGGAGAGCAGGCAGAGCTTCAAGCTCCAAACACCGGAGCCTCCAACTGCTTTGCTGTACTGGGCCATGTATACTCAGACCTCACTTTCTCATTTTACCACTCACGACAGGGCTATAATTCCTATGTCTTGCTGTTGCACAGCTCTAATCTAAACATGTTACATTCCCACCAGCTTGACCCATCCCACAGCACAGGACAGTCCCATCAGGTAGTACAAATTGCCTTATGGGACAGCCTCGCATGTACCTACCACCAGTGGTTCAAGCCAACGGGAATGTGTTAAACTTCTCTCCCTCAACCTCAGAGCTCGGCTGTTAACACTGAATCAGTTTGTCTCCTAGCAAGCACCTACCATGACTCCCTCCCAAGAGTGAGCACCAAACATACTCTTCTGTCCATGGACACGTCCTGTTATATCCAAAACATGAGTGTTGCTTTGTTCTCCCTTTTTTCTGAATTGTTTGCTTGCTTCACTTTCTAAACTTCCCTTCCCCATACCCCCAGTTTCTTCATTTCCATTCTACTGAGGATGAACCAATGTGCATGAAAAAGTTGCTAGAGCAGAATCATTTGTTACCCTCTGGACTCCTCAGTCAAACCTGAGCAAGTGTAGTTAGTTCACAAACATAAACCATGCTTTAAGGATTCCAGGTCAGAGTCAGGCATGGTAATGCACTCCTATAATCTGTGCACTCAGGAGGCTGACGCAGGTCAATCAGGACTGAGGCCATCCTGAACTACACAGTGAGACCCTGTCTCAAAAAACTAAGTGTTTTAAAAAAAAGACTTCCAGTCCAGAGACAGGGTGGAGTTTAGGTAAGATTATCAAAAGAAGAAGGAAAAACAAACTTTGTTAAATTTTACAACAAAGTCAAGGGGGAAAAAGTGAAAGGGGTTATTTTTATAAATTAAACACTGACAAGTGAAGGGCCAAATGCCATTGTGAGTTTATACAACTGTTAGACTTTTAAATATTTGTGAATGGATACAATAAAATGAATTTAAGTTGGGATTCCTTATTCAAAGCAAACAAATCCTTCTGTGCCTACCAAGGGAGCTGAACAGTGCAAAAGCAAAGATGTCCAACACTACCTGCCTGTTCTATGTCAACCCTGGTCCTAAAGAGCCTGTTTTGAAACTGTATTTATTAATAACTCATTTTATTAAGAACCAAAGTTTCAGATACACATGAGATAACTATTTTGGGGTTTGTTTGTCATCACTATCCATGTCCCATCCTATGTCCCATCCTGTGTCCCACTCCCTGCCCAACCCCGCCACTGGTACAAGGAATTAAACTCAGGACTCTGTGCTTATCAAGCAGGTGTGGCTCCCCTGAGCTACATCCCCAGACCAAGATAACCACTATTAACCACAGTGTATGGATAAAATTCCAACTAACATAAAGAAACTGTACATGCCAGCTGGCCTGGGGAAGTCACACTGTGGTCTAGGGGTGTGGCACATAAGAGAGCCTTGTCCAGTATCAGCCTCCAGTAAATTTAAAAAAAAAAAAAAAATTCAAAGCCCTTTTGGGAGCTTTAGAAACTCTATGTCAAAAGCCACATCTAGCTGGGTGTGGTAGCACTCTTATAATCCCAACAGGAGGATTACTGCAAATAAGGCCAGCCAGGACCCTGTCTCAAAAAATAAATAAATAAATAAATAAAAAATAAAAGCCACGTCTATTCAGTAGGGAAGGAAACAATCATTTTTGTTTGTTCCCCTAACTAGGAAGTTTCTTTAAACCAAATAAGTTCCAGCCTAGAAATGGAATCTGATGGTTTTGCCTAAGCACAACCATCTCTGTTGTCTTGGAAAGAACATCTTGGTCTCCTCTGGGTAACTGGCCAGGAGGAGGCAAGTTGAGGATTGAGGCAGGGTCTAACATAGTACCATGGTCCCCTATCCTGTAGCTAGAGGAGGAACCCAGTGACAGTACAGAGTGGGATACCTGAAAACTTCTCTGGATAGGCCCTGAAACAAGTAGGAAACCAGGATGGCTGCTAAGCTGCTAGAAACCACCTAAGGGCCTACGCAGAGGCTACCTAAAACAGACAAGAGACGAAGGTCAGGAGGCAAAAACAGGAGGGTGCAAGATATAACATCCAATCATTTGAACCTCTGGGTTCACCTATGCTTGAAGCTATTCATTCCTTGCACTTCTCAGTCACATGGGAAGTCATCTGTAACCTACAACAAGGTGCGTTGTCACTTGCAACCACTAACCCTGTGGCAAGGAATACTTGAGAGAGCAAGGGGAAGAAAGCTGACAGTAGGGTGTGGGTACTTCCTAGGCTGCCAAAGGGGATTCAAGTAATGTGTGGAGAAACTGCTAGTTCCAGAGCCACACCTGATCCCCAGCCCCAGTCTGAAAGGGGGACTGTATATTCCTAGGAAAGCACAACACTCCCCAAGAACAAAGCATCCCCAACCAAAGTTTGGAATCATCTGCTCCTTTGTGAAAGTGGCAAGACTGATGTATAAAGAGAACCATAAAGTAACCTCTGCATTCCCACAAGCAGGGGACATGCAATAGCAAGGGGAGATTCAGGCATATTTGAAAATGCAATCAGAATCCAAATAGCAATGGAGACTGGAAATAAGACTAAATAAAACAGCAAACAAAATAACTGGAAAAAAAAAATCCAGAGCTAGGCTGATGCCCCTGGAGGCAAGAATTCCATAAAAATGTGCTTCAAGGGCTTTGGAGCAAGGTAGGGAAACTCCTTCCAAATCTAGTGCTTTGATCTGGGAGACAGAAAAAGCTTTATGTAGTTCTAAGCAGTCCAGGTGCACACGCACCTCTACCCAACCCATCAAATCCCTAAGGAGATTTTGGGGAGTGGCTTTTCAACTGTAATTATCAAGGATCAAGAGCTAAACCAGGTGTGCCCAGCACTCAGGAGGCTGAGGCAGGAGGATCGCTGTGAGTTTGAGACCAGCCTGTGCTACATACATAGTGAGTTCCAGGTCAGTTTCAACTACCTAGTGAGACCTTGTCTCCAAAAAAAAAGTATCAAGAGCTGCTGCGTTGAAGAAACAACATCTGTCCCTCAATGCCTCCTCTCCA